GTTTTTAACAAATTCACTTGCTGTGTTTATAGTAGACCGAAATCATAAACCAACTGTAGAATAATTGAATGAATTAATCATTTTTTTATTTTTAATTGTTAAATTTCAGTACTATTCTGTTTGTAGAGGCATTATTTATTTTAGAAAAAAAATTATATATCAGAATTTTAATCTCGTCTTTTAAAATATCGTTGACTAAGAGTTTATAGGTGTTAAGCATATTTAGAAATGCAAAATAAATGAATGAAAACGATTAAATTGATATTTTTATAAACAACGGTATACCTATCTCTTCCTTAAGATTTTTGATTGGACTCTTCGCAGTTTCCAGTATTGAGTGATATCACCTAATCACATTTTCATGCTATATATCCATTTAATCTCATTTGGGATTTGTTGAATTGTGTGCTCAGTCGTGTATTATTGTCGAGTTATTTAGTAGCAGTTTATGTTTAACCAGTAGCTTGAATGATGCATCGGGAAGCCCATCGAACAAATTTGGACTAAAATAATGTTTCTTTTATCTCTAAATACGAGCCCCATATAAATCCTTTATCTAGACACATATCAAACTATTATAAATAATAAATCAAAGGTACCTCTTGATAATTGATAATGGTGGCGAGTAGAACAGCTGTATCTATATCCTAATCTTTATCTCAGAATAAAAATTAGGATAAGATAATGTACAAGATAAAGTTCGTGTAAGTCCATTTTTGTTCATTGACTTTAATGTGATGTGATGATTAATGTGATGATATGTGTCAAGCTTCTACAGAATTATTTTTTTATTTTTTTACTAAGTGCTCTCTCGCTTGATGTACAGCCTTGATGTAGGTGACCAGACTACTTTTCCTGGTCATTATTCAAAATCATCTGAAAATAGTGTTGCGTCAAACCAAACCCCTATTACACGGAAGCAATTAAGGATATTGCACACATAAGGTCAACCCCAACTTTTATTCTTCCTTTAAAATAAGTTTTACTATACATTTCATTTTCATTACACTGAACATTCGTAATAATTTAATTAGGTATAATTAAGAAAAAATAACAAATTTTAAACGTGTTTATAATTAATAAAATTTTAATACATTTTTCCTAAAAATTTATATTCGTCACATTTTAATGATTTATTTTTTAATGCTTGAAATATTTCGTGCGCATTCACTTTTTAATAGCAAATTGATTGAATTTAATTGTTTAATCCACACCCAGTCGAGGAAATAATAATAATAAATTTATTAGATCTTAGAACACTTTTACCAAAATAGAACAAATTTAAATGAATTTTTTCGGAAAAAAATACTTAACCGCAAGGGGGCAAACTACTTTAATGGATCTTTTGTCAAATCATTTGAACGCAATTTGATGATAAAAATAGTTTGTCTTAGCCTTTCTATAATTTATTAAAGTCTGGCCTTGAATGTTGAACAATTTAACAGTTAATCACAATTATTATAAATAATACAAAAAAAAATGTTAATAAATGTGGTCAATTTTTTGCAAATACAAACCCGATAATCACAGAACAATAGAAATCTTAAAAAATGTTGAAGAAAATCATTTTGAAAAAAAATTATCAATAAAAAATGTAAACAAAAACTCTATTAGTTTATTTATATTTTTTTAATAAAAAAAATATTCATTTAAGTTACATTTATTTCATAATCTTTAATTTAATAATTGACCCTGTTTATGTATAATAATGGACTAAACATTAGACGTTTTTTCTGCAGATGCGGATATTAGACTCATTTTCATCTCAAAGAATTCGCAAAAATTCGAGTTATTTTTTTTTTAATAAATTTTTCATTTAATTTTTCATTGTCAATTGCGTTTTTTTTTAATGAATTTTGTTGTTGTTAAAGACGTCACGCTAACATTTTGTGCTATTCACATAACAGAAAATAAAATTTAAATAAATTACATATTTTGGCTTTAATAACAGTTTGGACCGCACTGTAATGAATAATGTTTCAATTACAGAAACTTAACTTAAGGTCAATGCTACTCGCTGTAGTTTCTTCATGTTAGTCTCATGTTAGACTTCATATGTTCGTCTAAAGTAAATAAACACTAATCCGATTTGCGTGTCAAGATTTTGATTTCACTTAAATATAACAATTATTTAATTTTCTAATATTTTTTTTATTTAAATTGAATAATCAAAAAACAAAGACTCAATCAAAGACCAACAATCATTCAAACCAAAGTTGGTACGCAAGGCGCCAAATTCAAACTAAACTAAACAACCACAGAATTATTCTAATTTTGGTTGGCTTAAAATTGCATGTAATAGATCAAGACTACCCACAAGAAAATTAATGTATTTCAGATACAAAAAGAAGTTTGATTATTTTAATAATAATATTTTTTACGTGAGTACATTTCAAATTTATTATTATAAATTAAAAAAATATTTAACAAAAATATGGAAGGCGTGAAATTAGAATTTGAAAATAAAGTAATAACGAAATGATTTCTGTTAAGTGTCTCTGAGAAAATGATAAAACTTATGTTTAAATTATTTTATATAAATGGTAGATAGGTAAGTGAAATGGAAGAAGGATCAAATCCCCCTCAATTAGCTGAGAAAGACATTATGATTCTACATTCCTCCTACTTGTGGGTAGAAAGTTGAATATAATAAAGCCAGCTGTACGCACTGATAAATGCAAGTATCGGGCCAGTACCAATATTGAAAATATCACCTATTAACTTAAGGAATAGGAAGATTAGCTAGGCATGAAAGTATACTATTATTAAATCAAATGAATAACTTATTATCAGAATTCAACGGAGCTGTTATCAGTGTATCATCCAAATGGTCACAGACACAATTATGTAACAGTGCTTTAGACACTAACTTGCGTTTATTCAAGCAGATAAGAAGCAGAAAATATCGAGTATCGGTGCACATATACTACAGAAGAGTTGATAGGGCAGGCCCAGCCTGACTACATGCCATCCTATAGCATATAAGAAGAAGAAAATTTCGAGTACCGGTGCACATATACTACAGACGATTTGATGGGCAGGCACAGCCTGACTACATGCCAGCCTATATATGGAAGTGTCTGATATTATCTCATACACTTGCAATTTACTGCAATGTACTAAGTCAGAAGTTTACATTTGGTGTATAAAGATCATGTTGCTCTTGACCTGGCCGTTGAAGAAATTTTACCACAATTTCTGTTGGCTTATCGCAAAAACTGATCGTATGTCGATTTTTGTCTGCGGCGTACAGGAGCAGGACAATTGAAGAGGCAGCAAGTCCTACTAGCTTATTTTCATGCTGGTTTTCTGCATAATAATATTTCCACTTATCCCACCTAGAATTACTTGGAGTTACTGTCAAGTTTTTTAATGAATCGTCTACACTATTGAACTATTTTGAACGAGATGCAAACTGCTGAAATAGCTTTGATATGTACCTCCTTGTCATGTTAGTCCATGTTCACAATAAAAGAAACGGCTCTTAGGAAAGCAATAGTTTCGACTTGAAATAATGAAGAAGAGTTGCAAAGGTGGTAGGATTTACAAATCCCTTGGTTCATGGAATATATGCCACAGCAGCACATTTCATAATAATGAAATCTTAATTTAGTAAACGGCAGTACTCCACAAAGAATCAATGTACCTTATTTAAAAGTTCTCCTGTCTGAAATATTTTTTTTTCAAAAATGGCAAAATGTTATAAAATTTCTTTAAGATAATACAAATTAAAATTTAAATGCAAAAAAAAATTTTTAAGAGTCTGTGCAATTTAATAGCAGAAATATATTCCACAATCAATGATTAATGCTATTTCGTAATATCCAAAGTAGTTGTGTAATCAGTCAAAATTTTCATTTAACTTAAAATTAAAATTTTCCTAATTATTTAGGTAATTCAATTTAAATAAATTCTTCTTCATATGAGTTAAAAAAAAAACACAAATACAATTTTATTTATTGTATTTTATAATTTTGTTGTTTTAATAACCAATATTTTTTATTTAATATTTTTATATTTAAATTGTTTCAATAATACACATCTTTTTTATATAATTTTTAACAATTATATATTATTTTCACCAATATTTTGAATCTATAGTCAGTTTATTAATAATTAGACTTATTTTTATGAAATAACATAAATAACGTATTGTACATATTATTACATTTATTAATATTTACATTTACAAATTTAATTAAATATTACAATATATTTAATATATATAAATATAATAATATAATCAAATATAATAATATATTTTTGGTATATAATTTAATGTATATTTTTTTTATATATATTTTTTTTTTATTAATTTTTAATGTATTTTTATTTATTTATATTTATTTATTTACAACTAATTAAAATCATATTATTACATCTTATATTCACAAGTACTTTATCTATATTATGTTTTTCTGTATACATATGAAATACTTAATTAATGTGCTTACTCATTTGGGAAATGTAACACTAAATTAATTGAAATTAAGTACATACATATATACAATACATAATCAACAAATATACGCACGAGAACAAAACTTTCGGCTTTATTACCCATGTTATATTCACCACAAATATAATGCTTTAGTGGTGAACCAACTGCCAGCTTCTAATAGCGACTCCAACAAATTTTATGCTACACATTAGGCGTTTTACTAAACCATAAAGACAACTGGGAAATATTTGCTTTACGTTAGCAGCGCGTCAACAGAATCCAAAAGCAGGCAGCATATAATACAACTCTATTCCAACAGTGCGCAACTACTCGTACTAGCAGAGAAGTTTGCGGCAGTTATAAGTTGAGATGTCAAACGAAAGCAAAAGTTTATGTAGTTAACAGCGACGTTTGCTGTGTATGTTATAATGCTCGTATATTCACTGTTTCTAAAACAACTGCTGCTGCCGCTGCTGCAAAAAGTTTATGGTTTGTTTTGCTTTGTATATTTGCGTTTTTGCTTTTTCGTATTTAATGCAAGCGCAAACCTAGAATTGGCACAGTATTCCGGGCAACTTTGCAGTGTTGATATCGGTGCCTTTGAAATACAAGAAGTATAAATCTAATTAATTAAATAATTTTGTGTTTACACTATAGAATTAAATCATTTTTGTGTTAATTTTTTATTATATAATTTTATTTTTTTTTTTAGAATTTTTTATTATTTAAAGCGACAAGTTAAAAATTTTGTGTAATTCTATTTTGTGAAAATGGCAAACTTAATAAGCTTACTTATCCTTTCAATTGCTTTGTTCGCAACCTCGGCCCTTGCTCGGCCAGGATATGCTGTGGATTATTATGTGAGTTGGAATTTTGTGTTCAAAACTAAGATTTCCTTTCCAAAGTGTTTTAGTACAAATAATTTTTAAGATATGAGTGAAATTAAAATATTTTACATGTTTAATATTTATTTTATAAGCATTTTTATATGTAAATGTAAATAATAGATAACACGAAATTATTATATTTTTCTTTATCCCAAAATTAACAATTAAAAACTATGATCATAAATTTTAAACTTTATTAAAATATGTTTTTTATATTATATATTAAATATATAATGTATTTTTCTTTTCTAAATTAAAATACGTAATTAATTTTTTATATAAACAGTAATAGTAATAATAAGTACTTGAGTAACATATTTAGTTTTTTTGTTTAAATATGTGTCCAAATCTAACGTAACATTTTTATTTATAAGTTTAATAATAATACTTTGGTTAAAATATATTAAAACAATTGATAATTTTATGTTATAAAAAACAAATAATCCGTGTACTAGCATATATATATATACTTAAATGTATTTATAATTTGTTTACATTTTTGAAAAAAACTTTTTTTTCCTATTTTATACAATAAAATTCATATAAATTAACAATAAATATACGTAGAGTCCTTTATAAACAATTTACATAACGAAATTCGTAATAATTCGACTCATACTCAATTTTATTTTAACAGAATAACAATGATTTAACATTCTGCTAAAAATTTTAGCATACTCCAATAGTTTTGTATTATTCTCAAAAATATTCATTTATTATAAATTGAAAATGATTAAATATTTTCAATCTGCAAGGGAAAACTTAACATACTTTATTAACATATATTAAAAATATATATATAATAGAATATATGTAAAAATATAGTCAAAATTAATAACTGAAATATTACAAAAATCAACTGACTAGAGTAATCGTCACCTTAATACGTTTATTTGTATTTTACAAGAAATATCCTTTATACTTAAAATAAAATTTGGGCGTAAAAATATCTATATTAAAAACTTAATCAAGTTTTAAACTTTTATTTTTGGTTTTTCGAATAATTTAAGTTTCTACACAATAAAATTTATTAACTGCTATTTAATGTACGCAGAAATTAGCTATTACATATCAGAAGGCAATCCTCTTAAAATAGTATTTATTTAAAGTTTACTTCAATTAACTCCACTTAAGCAGCTATTAATGTTTAGCAGAGCCTTGCCCTACATTAAGTCAAATCCAAAATTTAGTTTGATCTTAAACCATAATTTGTTGCTTAAGACTACGCAAAGGATGCTAAACTTTATTTCTCTGTTACTTTAACAGTAATTGGTAACAGCTACATTTTTTAACATATTGTAAGACTAAAAACCAATTTGTATAAATAAATTGCTAATAATTAAAATTGTAGAAGATAGTTTTAAGGACAAATATTATAATATATTTGAATAAAATTTTATATATATAAAACTTATAAATATTATAATATATTTGATAAAACTGGTTTTAAAGTTTCTTTTCATTTATTTGAGTATCTATTTAGAAAATACTTAATTCATTTTCTTACAATATATTCAATAGCAAATTAAAAATTATTGACTAAGGAGGAAGCAGAAGGTGGTGCATTTTTATAGATGTAAAACATTGTATAAATTTTTTAAAAATTATATTTTTAATTTTATTAATTGTAAATAAAATCTGTAAAAGAACATTCAGTATTACTTATGGATATAAAGTAGAATAAAATGATACGAAGACATGTGCAGAACACTCAGAAGTAACCTCGCTAAAGATTATATTACAGAGCATTATTACATGATTGCTGTGCTGTTCTGAAGATAGTATACAAATAGTAGCTTATAGAATAATAAACTTTAAAATTGTTAATAATAACATTGAATAATAATGGGAATATAAAAATTACAGTTTCTTCCACATAAATGTTATCACATTTTAATAGATGTCACTGCGTCCTTTTTTACATTTTATTCTGACTTACTTAAAGCTATTTATTAAATTTCATAATACTCACCTTATAATTAGATATCATTCTAATGCAATTTAGATAAAGATAAACTTTACATATATATAATACCAGCATATCTAATCTTTATAGGATCACCCCAAATATGCTTTTAATTATGGCGTTGCGGATCACACAACTGGTGATGTGAAAGCACAACATGAGACTCGAGATGGTGATGTTGTTAAAGGTAAGATGAATTTTACAATTAATTAAGGCTCATAATTTTTACAATTTTTTTATAGAATCTTTTACTAGTTATAACAAATATATAGTGATATAAAAATTCTTATTGCTTATATCATAATTTTTATTAATTTGTATTTTTGTAAAAGATATCTTTATTAACTTTAAAAAATATCTAATGAAAAGCTGGAAAATAATATAATAATTATAATTGTAAAATAAAAATAAAAATACTATTAAAAATAATTACAAAATCAACACTGTTTTGGAACACTTAAATAAAAACTTTTGGTTTTTGTTTCTAAATTTTTATATATTTTTATACCTAATATTAAAGTCGATATTTGAAACATTATTTAATTTTTTTTCTTATGCAAATCATCACAAGTTTACAAAAGAAACCAAAAAGCAATTTACACTTTTTATGTAAATAATCAATTTTAAATATTTAAGTAGTAGCAATCAAATAATTTAAATATTATTCCATAATTATTTTTCAAAATACACACACACACACACTGACGATGATCTACTAAGTTAACCAAAATATTTGTGTAAAATGGATAAATGTACACAAAATAAATTCATGAAAACAAAAATTATAAGAAATTTAATAATATTTCATTTAATTTTCTTATTTAATTAATTTAATTTAGTTAATTTTTAATTTAGTTTTTATTTTTTGAATAAACGCCATAAAGCTGTAAAAATAATTATACATAAATAAATAATAATATTTAAATAATAATATATTATAAAATTAATTTAATTTAATTTTTCATTTTTTGAACAAACGTCATAAAGCTATTAAAATAATTACGTGTAAAGAAATACTGAAACAAATTTAATATATAATATATAACATTACAATAATTTCTTTTACTTTTAGGTCAATATTCTCTTGTTGAGCCAGATGGCTCAATACGTACAGTCGACTACACAGCCGATCCAATTAATGGTTTCAACGCAGTTGTCACCAAATCAGGACCCACAGTACACGCACAAGCCGTAGTAGCTAAGCCCGTCATAGCACACAAACCCATTGTGGCACATTATGAACCAGTAGTTAAGCATGTAGCACCAGCGCCAGTTGTGGTGCAAGCAGCGGCGCCTTATGGTAAGCAAAATGCATAAAATAAATATTAATTTTAACTGAAGTTTGTTGCTTAAGTCTTTTGTTAAAGCTGTAAATATTGTCTTAACAACTTAAACAATTTACTTTTATTATTGCATTAAAATTAAAATTTCTACATAAATTATGAAAAACCTCAGTACCAATAAATTTTCCCACCCTCAACTCAATTACCCACATACAGGGTACACTACACTGAGAGTAATGTTGTAGTAGTTGGTTGGTTCACAGTTGTTAACGCACACAGCACCACCTAAGGTTTGCACCTATCAAACCCCAAATCTCCAGCACTGCCAACAGCACGACCAATGCAATTTTCTATTACCGCCTTCGCCAGAGGCGCAATTACTCATGCCTGAAACAACAATTTGCGATTCTTACCAACGCATTGTTTTGTTTGTTTTCTTTCCCATGTAGGCATTGACACATATCGCATGTTTAAATTGTTCAGACGTCACGCCAACTACTACAACAGCCAATTTCTCAAATTTCGACCGGATGAAGATGCACAAGATTTTTACTAATTCTCGCACTGATCTCTGATCTCGTCTTAAATTTAATCAATTTTATGCGTTCAATTGTTTTGATATTATTAGTTTCGTTCACCAGACGGGCACATACTGGCACATTGCAAAAATTTGTGCAAATTTTATGTTAATTTTTCAGATATTTTTTAAATCCAATGCAATGCAATAATTATTCAGAGATCGTAACAATGACGACTGGTGCAATTGAACATTTTAAATGGGTTTGCTTTTTAATTAATAATTTTGTAAACGTAAAACTGCAAGTCATAATTTGATGCTTTTGGAATAAAATTTATTTAATTTGTAGTTTTTATTTTTATTTATTAAAAATTAATAGTTTATAATTGATTAAATTAACCTAATAACAATTTGCATTAGAATTAAAAATATTCGTATTTTATAAGCTTTATTCGCTTAGTTATTTATTATATAAAATATTTGAAAGTTTATATGTTCTAAACATTTTTGGATTTATAATAATAATTACAATATATATATATAAATTCTTTTCAATATATATTAATAAATTTTACTATTTATAATCAAGTTAACACATATATGAAATATTCATTCAGCTTCCCAATGTCGCCTGAGCGATATCGTGGGCAGACATTAGTATAACTATTTCCGTATTAAGATCCTAGATTTGGTTCTATAAAAAATACTCTTAGAAAAGAGTAATAAAATCATGCAATAAATAATGCCTCTACAAAAGAGGAGTATTAAAAATGAAAAATTAAAAATAAGAATTACGAATAAAATCTCTTTAACAAATTTACTATAAATAAATAGATAAGTACTTTTGCATTAGACACACTAGGAACATGAATCACCTTTGGGTTTTCTTTATTTGAGATATCGTATGAAATTTTCTTTGTTAATAAAACTACTAAGTTTTATAACTACTAATTTTAGCCACATTGATTCATGATATACGTCTCTAAAAACAATTTTTCTTTAACTTTTTTATTAATGCTATGTTATGCTTTTTTTATTATTACTGTGTATTGGATTTCTATGACTGTTCTAATTTAATATTATTCAAGCTCTACTTTTACTTAAACTTTAGTTTAATTATTGTTAGCGTCAGTTGACAAAACTTCTTGTTAGCTTTATTTTATTCAAAATATACTTACCTCAAAGAGGCTCTATAGAGAAACCTCTGTATTTCATGTATTCTATATACCTATTTTAACAAAATAATGGATATCATTTTGAGAAAGTGATTCATCATCCAATAGATTCATGTTAGCATCTTGCATTGTCTCTTCAGATGCAACAACTAAATTTATATTCATGTAAGTCCTACTGTAAGAGAGCATGGCATTCAATTAATGAAATATCTATCTTACCGATACATATAAATGTCCATTTAACCGTATTCTTACAAATACTTCTTCTGTTTTTACAAAGCTCCATCTACAATGTTCGTTTTCAACTTTTTAAGTAATTTAGTTAAAATTAAAATTTTATTTTCTTTTGTTTCGTAATTGATTTTTAGCATTTATTTTATTACTATTCTATTTACTTCTTTCATCATAACAACTGGCACTGGCATTATCAGTCATCATTGTAAAACACATATTTTTATGTAGATATAATCACATTAGAAATGTTTATATAGACATTTTCTACAGAAATTTCAACGATAAATGGCACTTTTATTTGCTAATTTTTATTCTACAACTAGTATTGGCTTTGTTTTTATCTAGGATTAGGTTAGGTTAGAGTGGCAACCTTGCGCCCAAAGCTCACTTGAGTTCAAATAATGACCCGTTGTGAGACTATATATTGCTTCTATGTATAATCATCAAATTTGTGTTTTTAAATTTTTTGCTATTGCAATGCATTATATATACATTTGAGTTGAGTTGAGAGTACACTTTAATCAGAAATGTATGAAGCAACAAAACATATGCAAAGACAAATAGAAAGCACAACAAGTTTGAAATAATAACGATGTTTTATATAGAATAAAGCAATTTGTTGGACTATAGAGAAGTCATTTAATTGGAAGCCAGTTTGTTGGACTGTAGAGAAGTCATTTAAGTGTGAGCCATTTAAGTGGATTACGCGAAATACTTTTCTATCCCTTTCAAATAAATTATAGAAAATTGATATTTTTTAGCTAATTATCAATTTATAATACGAACAAATATACAATATATTTGTATATTGTATATGTAAATATATTTGTATAATATACAATATATTTGTAAATTTGTTTAACACTTACGAGTATTAACAAGAAAGTTGATGAAAATATTTATAATGAAAAGTTTAATTACTTAAGTAAATTAGAACGTTGATTTATTATTTTAAACAAATGATTTAATAAGGCATTGATTTATTTAGTCTATTTCTTTGGTTCATAATTTGGTTGATTTAACCAGATTTCCGGGTCAGAATATTCTTACTCGACGCATTATGTTGGTTCGACTATACCATAAGTTGGTTTTTATATATTTTTTACCAAAAGAGCTAAAATTTCTCTAACAAAATGTTCAATTTAGCTGGTATGAGTTTAGAACATTTTTTTGTGTATATATTTGTATATATATTGTCAAGGTATTTTATTACGGTGTATATGCCTAAATAACTACTAAAATACAATGAGATAATAAGCATAATAGAACATTTATTGCGGTATATACACTAATTACAATTGTATAATAACCAACATGAAACATTTGCTATAGCGTATATGCATAAATACATACTAATATAAAATGAGATAATAACCATAATGAAACATTTGTTACGGTGTATGTCCCTAAATGAATACTAATATACAATGAGATAATAACCATAATAAAACATTTCGTATGGTGTATGTCCATAAATAAATACGAATATACAATAAAATACTATATGATAAAAGGATATGATATGATAAAAAGACAATTATAATAAAGCATTCGTACAGTATATGTACCTAAATTAGCACTAATTAAAATGAGATTATAACATTAGATAATTAAATATGTTCCTGATTGAGCACCTTAATTACTCTAAGATAAGATAGTACGTGCATATTCATACTTGAACATATATTAAACAATTTTTTGTCATTATGATTATTAGTTTTCGGTAATTCACATAAAATGAGTTGTACTTACACTATTGCTTTAATCATAACTTATTTAAAACTCACACATTACTTCTAGTATATATGCATTTCAAATGTCGAATATTTGTCATACTAAATGAAATGTCTGTTTTATTATATATATTTTTGTAATTATTATTATTTAAGAAATTATATATTAACCTTATTTTGTGTTGTGCAATTAAGTTTTAAAGTGAAAATCTAAGCGCAGTTTCCCACGCCCACAACACTGTAGTATTCATAAAATGAATTTAATGAACTATAATAAAATTGTGTATATAAATCATTCTGCTTTATTTCAAATTGAAACAAAACAATAATGAATAGTTCTATTAAATACAAAATCATTAAACTGTTGTAAGATAGATTTTACAACAAAAAACAGGCTCTTGACATAATAATTTGAAGCTGAGAATGTTTAACTGATTTTTATCTCACAGTGCATTTACAAAGCAACAACAGACACTAATTAATTACAAAACTTAATTAAGGAAAAAACTTATATGTAAATATATTGCAAAATTACTTAAAAATGCATTTTATGAGTGTAAAAGTATTTAAAATTGTTTTGAAAGCATCTCAACAGCAGAAGTGAATCAGAACAATGAAATTCATTGAAATTTTACTACAATGCACTGAAGGAGCTTGCATCGCAGCTGAGTGATGATGTTGATAATAATGACATTATAAAAATTGTTAGTAATAAAAATTAATTTGTTTTAAAATAATAACTTAATAAAAAAAAATAAAAAAAGTCTCAATAGCGTACCTACGAAAGTGCAATCAACTTCAGGCGCGATTGTTATGAATTTGTGAAATGATAGTGTATCAGAGGCATCATTTGTGGTCTATAATTTATTAATTTTTTATGATTGATTTATATTTTGTGTTTGTATGCATTTTTGTTCCATTTTTTTTTTTCACTTCTAACCGATGTGTCTCAATTTACTTGCACATATCCTCATATTTCGAAAAATTTTCCCATGACATGAAATTATGTCATTTTTGAGCAGCGTCTATAGTTTTGTTGTTGCTGTTGCTGTTGCTGTCGCTGCCATAAGTACCGCCATCACTGACGCTGACGCTGGCGCTGCAATGCTGTTATTGCATTGCAACATTGTGCAGTCACATTTTTTATTACTAGAAACGTAACAAAATGCCATAATTTTGCATACTCGCATTTGCAATTTGTTTAGTTTTTTGTGTTTTGTGTGCAATTATATTATTACCACCAGCCCAAAACAATGTAAAAATAACACCTTGCGGAAAATAATAGCAATTTTCCCATTTCATCTCGCATTGCAACGACACACTTTAAAATTTCTCAATGTCGCAATAAATTTAACTGCAACATGCGGCTAAACGTGAGCAACATTTGCTTGCTTCATTTGTTGCATGCATTTTAATTGAATTTTTTTTTATTTTTTTATTTTGATTGTATTTTTTTAATGCGGTTTTGTATGGGAGCTGTTTATTTTTTATTAACGCTTTAGGACAATGCAGTTTTATGACTTCAAAAAATTTTCATGTGAGAAGTTAGTATGCGAGCATTTAGTAAAGAATTTAAATTTATTAAATTTTAGTTATTAACCTGATTTTTGAATAATTGTGTTGAGAGTTTCAGTATTTTTTACTCAGTTTTCCATTATACCTTATATTGCATCTCAAATATTAACGCCTTTTGTGGCTTTTGCGTGTAGATAAAATAGTGCGGTCTACTGTTTATCATTACTAAATGGAAACATATGGTCAACTTTTCTCAATTAATGTCCAGCAAATGCCACACAATGGCATAGTCTTTTTTTTTGTGACTTTTATACAATTTTTAATAACATTTTTTGTAGTAATTTTTAGCTTCGAAGTCCATTCATGAAACATTTGCTTGATGAACATTTAAAAGAAATACAATTCGTGACAAAATTGTAACAGAAAATGTTTTCCTGTATTTTTTTTACTTACATATTTAAATGTAAACACACAAATTTACATAATCTTTTTAAGTTTTTATTTGATTTTCGTTTGAAACTATTTTATTACCGACCCAATTTATTGTTCCAGTTTTATTTGAAATTATGCCAGTCAGGAGAGTCAACGTCAACAGCAACAAAAACCTTGCAGCATCATCTTTGCATGCGCAACATTTGCTACAGATATTTAGCAACAAAAAATATAACAACAAAAACTTTTGGTTTCATGCAAAAATAATAGCAAAAATAAAAATAAAAATAATAGCAAAAATAAAAATAAAAATAATAGCAAAAATAAAAACTAAAATAATAGCAAAAATAATAACAAAAAAAAAAAACAAAAATAATGACAAAAATAAGCGCTAAATTATCTGCAACTCGTTTGTTATTGACTTTTTATTATCAAGCCATCTTCTGATGACTTCAGTCCACCAATTCGATTCGATTTCCACGCTTTGTTAGCCATCTATCTGAATTCATTCAATGCGCTCTGCACTGAACGTCACTTGTCGCATTTAGCAACCGCTGACATTGGCTTCACATTTGTTGCCAGCCTCCGTTTTGAGTTGCGCTTAAATGTTGCTAAGCTTTTGAACCGAAATGAATTTGATTATTGGCCGCTTGGTAGCAACAAATTTGTATCGTATTTATTTAATCTATACTATATATGAAACTAAATATCAAAATGAGTTTAAGATTTTACATATAAAGAATGACGACAATATTTTATTACACAATACTTTGATAGTAAAAAAAAAATAATAAATAATTCAAATTTAATTAATCGCCTTTTAAATTTAAACTTAACTAATTATTAATAAAATTTATTAATTTTAATTTTTACTTATATCCATTATCAACATTTATTAATTTTATTTAATACTCATAGACTTTAACATTTATTAATTTTATTTAATAGTCATAGACTTTAATTTTATTAATTTTATTTTATACTCATATAGTTTATCAACATTTCTTTATTTTATTTTATTCTTATAGACTATATCAACAATTATTAATTTTGTTATAAATAATCTCTTATTTCTCTGATTTACAGTACCTAAACATTATGCACCGGTCGCGCCCATACATTATGATTATGATGACGGCTATTACAACAGCGGTGCTCACTATGAATATGTGCCCCAATACTCCGGTCACTATTCTGGACATTATTAGTTACTCAAGCTGAGGTCTATCGCAGTCTTAATACAACGAATTTTCTATTTTGTAATTTTTCTATTCCAAATCGCAATAATCGAAAATTATTTGATGTATTTCACGTATTAAATTATGCCAACCAAATGTACCTAACCATGTAGTCTTAAGTTTTCTTTTGATACGAGCTTTTTTAGTTTTTATAATGGAAATGAAAATAAAAAGAAACAAAAACTTTTTAAAAAAGTTTAAAACGAATATATTTTAATTATTATTTTATTTCTTATACTAAAAAGTAAGTATGATTATTAAAAACCTTGTAGATATATTAGTTCACAATAAAAGCGTTCCAAAGTAATTAGCAATTGGTAAGCATAAGTACATATTTGTAAGGAAACAATTCCAACTTAAGGCATCAGTAATATAAGTTCTTCAGGTGACTACATATTCCACTAGATATAACATTCAACAAAATGCCGATCTAAACTAAATTAATTTTTATAAATAAAATCTTAAATATATAAAAGTATACAACCTAGGTATCGAAGTCCGTATACAAAGTATCCGACAACAACAAAATATAATCATCTGGACGATTTGGTGTACCATGGTGTGTTATTCGCACATAAAGCGGCCGGTTATGTTCTTGTAAGACAATTGGCAAATATATATGGATGGCGGTCAAAATTAATAACAAAATGCCCAATACTATATATCTGATAATGAAATCTATCGATTTAAATAACAACTGTAACATATTGTTAGTTTTAAAAAATTTGTTGTAACAAAGCCAGAAAAATTAATGTAATCTATAACAATCTTTTCTCTGATATATTGTCAGCAATTTTTAAATTATTTAAATGAACTATTTTTTAAAATAGTTTACTTTATTCCAAAAAATTTTTCTAACACACTGTAACACAGTCAATATTTCAAAAAATTTTGATATATTATTTTGTCATTAGACCAATGACAAATGATTCTCATGAATTTACAAAAGATACATGGCAGATCCATTCTCCGTGGTTACGATCTATTTAACTATACTGCTTATAGTTAATCGAGTTAAATTATTGTATGAGTCAGCAATTATATACGTATAGTAAATGTTATTTAAAAGTGCAATAAAAATTAAGTTGATATTTTAGACCTTCAATACCTACTTACTCAGTTAACCATTTCAGACGTGATCCGTACTTAGCCACGTCCAGTCGTCTGCAACAGTCAACGCGGACAGTGACTTGCTGTCGCCAGTTAGTAGTATCGAATGGCATTCCATCGAAGATTCAAATTTCCTCTACTAAGTTTTTTCTCAACGGGTGTCGAATGAAACACCTTTCTAGCTGAAGCACTTTTCTCCATACATATTTAACACAACTTGACCAAGCCAGCGAAGCCACTGAATTTTTAAACCTTTAACTATGTGAGTGTCGCGGTAGAGCTCTTACAACTTATTGTACCAATAAATTCGATACTCGTTGCTAAAGCATAAGGGACTATAGATCTTCCGAACAATTTATCTATCAAATACTTCTGACGCCTTCTCAGCACTGTTGGTAATTGTCGAAACTTCTTCACCACACTGCAGAACAGACATGAAAAGAAAGTTGTAGAACGTTGAGTTTGCATCTGCATCTCGGTTAATGGATACTGCCTCTTCTTCGAAACGACTTTCTTAAATAAAAGAATTCATTTCCATATTTCTTTAAGAGGTAACCTTAACGTACATAATTATGTATAAGTATTATATTTAATAAAAGTATGATATAATGAAATTGAAATAGTTTAGTATTTAAAATATACTTTAGTATTTAAAGTATTATAAATACTAATAGTATTTATAGTATTAAGTATTTAAAGTATACTTCAGGATTCGAAGTAAACTTTAGTGTTTAAAGTATACTTTAGCATTAAAAATATATTTATTATTAAGCGTATTACTTATTAATTGCTAATTTATATTCTTAGATCAATATTGAAATATGATTTTTTGATAATAGCCTCTTATTTAAATAGATCATACTGTCCAACGATAAGTCAGTAGGAAAAAATTTGAACAGGTAATAAATTTACTAATAAACCTCTTCCCTCTAAAATGCTAATTAGTCGTAATTTATTTATTATTTATAGGTATATATATTTTGAGTAGAATTGTTTTTATTTTTAAACTTGAACAATCTTAAATCATTTATTTATTATTAATTTGAACTTGAAGTTGTTTTCAAAATCTGACTTGATTATTTAAAAACGTATTTGAAGTGATTTTAGTAAAAATATTTAATTAATTAATTTTAATTAATATAATTAATTAATATATTAATATTTAATTAAGTATATATGGTTTAGATAGATTTATTAGGCTGATGAAATTGTAACAGATAATGTGAAATTATGGACAGCATATTATGCAAAAACAATAAATTTAAATGCAAGCAAATTACAATATCACTTATAATTCGCATTCAGTTTATTTGGATTATATATAAAATACACACAGAATTTATTCCGAGATAAGGCGCTCCGCCAACATTACTAAGTTGCTGCTTATTTTAATACGTTATATTGCTTTTGTAGTCGTTCATCATGTCCAATGACTATCGATTCTTGCTCTGCTTAATTAATACTACTTAATTTTCACGTCTTATCTTTATAAACACTAATCAAGAAAAAATATTAAGTTATAATTCCGTTTTCACATTTTCAAAGTGATATATAAGGGACTTAAAGAATAATCATCTTATTTTTCTGTCACAAGCACTATGTGATTTATTGGCAGAATAAGCTATCGAGTATTGGAGGATTGGAATATGGTCTTCATCAACTTTAACAGTACAGTATTGTCTTGTGGATGATCTTACTTACTTGTACTTGACCAAATTATATAATTGTGAAAGGTATTAACAGAAAACATAGAAGCCGGTTGGCTGTTGAGCTTCTTATAATTTTTTTTTATTATCACTTTTATTATATATATACATAAAATTCACAAGTAGTTGAGAAAATATATCGATAAATATAAATAAATATTTATATTTCATAATAGAGTTGAAAGTTTCTATTTATTTATTATACACATGTTGTTGACGATATAATAGAAATAATCGGCGGATATGATAACTACGCGTTCAGAAAAAACAAGTTTGAAGCAAACTAAGTAAATTTAAAGCAATTATGTCAAATTAAGATACAAGCTAAATAATTTAGAGAGTTTTATATAGAAAATTTTTGAATCTGCGATGTAGGTTCTTCTTGCGAAAGATATAGGATTATACATTCTAGTCATAACATAAAGCACAAAGCGATGAGTTAAATAGAATTAGTTAAAAAATTATTCTGAAAATAAAATTTTAGTTCTAATACAATTTAAAGTTTCTATTGGAAACCTTATGATGGAAAGAATCTGCCTATTTGAGCGGAAGCTTCTTCAAGATTGTACCAACTACAAGCGTAAGTCTGACGATAATCACTTCCACGTCTCTGTCCTTTATGACAATGCCAAGATAACTCGTGTTGTCACTTGCCCGTAGGTACCTTACCCGACTCTACGATCTCTTCCCTGGCATCTCTCATTCGAGCCTTGTACTTCAAGTCCCCCCATTACCTGTCCCATTACTTTAATGAGTGAGACCGTAATCCCCACGTGACCGTGGCTTTCGTGATCTTAGTCACAAAGTTTATCGCTAGTCTTACTTCTGTGCTCGCGCTATAACCCAACCCTCTTCACTATAACCCTATCTTCCTATTTACACCAATGTTTATTGTCTTAGATGAACCTAGCCTACTAGGTATTAAGCTTATCTGCTCTCCTCTCTCTCCCCTGATTACTGGAATGAAGTTTCCACATTGCTGTAGAAATTTTCTCCATTCTTAAAAGGTGGTTTTAGTGGGTTCAAGTCATACACTGTGGCTTTCGATGCTTTCCACCTACTGTGAATATAAAAGGTATCTAAGAAAGTAAGTGTTTAGCAAATAAGAAACGTTTTTATAAAGAGTATTTTATGTCAATCAAAGGCTTATACTATTTTAAAAATAAAGTCAAATTTGGTATATGATGAATACTCTAAATAAATTTATACTAAAGAAATTCATCAACAAATATAAACTTAAAATAAAAGAACCATATATGAAACTAAATGATCTATTTGATTTGTTGATAAGTAATTAAAAACTTATGAATTAAAAAATTAAAAGAATACTTCTAATATACTCAAGTTCAATATTTAAGTTCCGGAAATGATTCACATTAATTAAAAGGGGCGCATCTGAATTTTCACTGCATTCCGATAAACTCTCATTGGCTTAACAAGATTCATATTTAATTCATAAGCCGCCTTAATATACAAATTCCACCTTCTTATGTCTCACAGTTGTCAAAGCAAAGCTACTTATTGAATATTTATTTCTTAATTAAAATAATATTAAAGATTTATTTTTAATTATTTGTGATTTATCGAAATTATTATTACAAAAAGTATTGATTAGATTGAACTCTGATAAGTTTTATTGTGAGCTTTATAAGCAATATGTCTAACAGTATAGGAATCTAATAATAATCTTGATTTAATAATTACTTTGTAAAAATATAAATCTATTTAAATCGAAAATAATAAAAGATATTTTTTTTTGGAATATTTCTCTATTTGAATACTTATCTGAAGTAAGGATATCTTATCTCATGAAAGATATGAAATAATTCTTATAAATATAAGCTTCGTATTTATATTCTTCACAATAAATAACTAAAACAAAGTTACTAAAGAAATTGTGTCAAAGATATATCGAGATTCCAGGAAACAGCGATCACCACAAAAACAATAAAAATCAGCACAACTGCCTGTATACTACATATCAGGCAGTCATTTTTACTCATATTGTTTGAAGAATGTTTTTTTTCCGCTATCATAAACGTTTGTCAACACTATTACCGTATTTCGTTAGATCTGAGATTTATTGAGTGATGCGCTATATAAGCGAATATTCCGGATTTCATCGACCACTTTGATCGATCTATTCAAATTCATCCAGCCGTAGTATATGCGTTCCTGTTAAGTTTATTGTAGTTCCAATTAGTCTACAGAAATTACTTACAGGTCAGTTATCTACCTCTAATCGATTTTCTAACCACTGCGTAGAATTATCTAATGATTTCCATATCAACTTGAGCAAACACAGGCTGGTGCTTTATTGGGTGCTTTGCCACACAAAATTTGATTGCAAGGACTCCACAGCCACCTTGTACGAACTAAATCAGTCACTCA